AGAGAGAGAGAGAGAGTTTTCTTCTTCTTCCTCCTCTCAGTCCACCATCTCTTCCTCACCTTCTCGCTATCTGACTTATCGGCATCAGCAGACTACGAGTGGGAGAGAGATTGGTGATTTTGGGGATGTTGACGACATTGGGATACAGACTTGACTTTGGGATCGAGGCATTGATGAGGGACTATTTGGGATCGATACCAGTGACACTTGTGTGATGACATTCCCATCTTCTCCCTCATCTTCGTCTAATCCCCCTCCTCTTCGTCTGTGGATGTTTGGGGCTGGAGCATTCTTCCTGTGTGAGCGCCAGGCCCCTTCACACCTTGTAATTATGACGATGTATGTTTAGTCTGCATTGCAACATTGATTGGGTTAATCATTGATATTTGTACTATGTTAGGGAGGTCGGTCCTTGTTCTGGTTTGCACCTTTGCTGTATGCAACAGTTTGGTATCTCCTCCTCCTCTCACATGTGTGAAGTATGATGGGATCTCCTGTCAGTCCCGGTCAGGTCAGGACTTATATCCAAATCTTCCACTGCACTATAAAGTGCCATTTTGTATGTATCAGGATGTACACTGCTTGTTGAGATTCCATTAACACTGCATTGTCCATTCAGTCATTTTCATCACCTTGCGGTTCCTTGGCTGTACATACATTGCCCAACTGGGCATGTATCACCATGCCAGACTGGATTGTTTCCAGGCCTGACTTGGAGGAAAGAGGGTTACTGTCAACCCTGCGCTCACTGTGTCTTACCTCCCTGGCCCCTAGAACAGCCACCTTGGAGCATTGTCTCCTCGCATGCCCGATAGCCCTGCAAATATGGAGATGGTGGGATGGAGCTTGGTCCTTCCTCACAGGCTCCCCTTTTCCCTGAAATATATGCCTGATTATGTTTGGGGGCTGGCAGGACCACTCGCAGGGGAGATGGAACCCCTTCCAGAATGATCCATTCAACGTCGCACACGTCGCATAGGACTTCTTTGGACCATTTTGAAACAGATGTTGGAGTGAAAGGAAAAGTGAGTCTTTTAGCACTCATGATGCATGAAAAACGATTGGTGACCTAATCAGCACGAACCTCAAAAAGAACTCGGACTCTCTCAAAAACAGACAACTACTGAAGGAGAAAGACACTGACAAAATAAATCATATGATTAAAGAATTTAATGAAAAATTGGATGGTCTTCAGAAGAGACACCATTGTCTAATTAGGCACTACTGAAGCCAAAAGGATAATTTAGGAAAATTCAAAAATGCCACCACACACACCTCCCAAGTGAGATGGGTCGCGTGTTGGCCCTTGCGGACCTGTCAGAGGGAGCTGACAATACAGTATAAGGAGACATTTTATAGTAACTTTTACAGACTTCCCACTCCTCCCCTCTCATACATAAACACAAAAGGGAGATGATAGTGGCTGAACGGATGTGGAAAAGATGCTCGGCTAAGGAACTCGAATCAAACATAAAAGGAGAAGACAATTCAAGGGCAGGTGTATTGACTCTGACAATTCAAGGGATTCATTCCCTCACCATAAATAGGACAGTGGCCTTGGGACAGGACTTTTTTTTTTTTTTCAAGTAATAAAACTGATTTGGACCATTTCTTGATTTATCCGCGTCATCCTTGCTCAGGGGCCATGCTAATCTTCTCTGCATCGTTCCAATTTGAACGGATGTCCCGAAGGACAACAGGACTTTTTTTTCTACTGTATGTAATCACCTGCAAAATCACAGTCTGAGAACTCTTCTGATTTCTAAGTTTTGCCGCTGGAATGCGGGCTTTGCTGAGAGTTCCGCTGTCTCCTGAGATTTCTCTGTGTGTGCGTGTTGGTCGGCTCTCATGCGCCTGTCTGAGTGCATGACTGCCTGAGTGTGTGTGACCCTCCAGGATGCTTGTACGTTTGGGAGGCCCTCAGGGCCGGTACTTACCTGTGGCGTGACTTTGAGGGTTACAGCGGAGAAACACTCAAGTAGCGTAGGCTAGCGGTAGTGTAGGCCCGCGTAGCTTAGGGTAGCACTTGAGTAGCAGTAGGCCGAGCAGAAGAAGAGAAAAAGTTAGTACCTTTAGATGTCGTGTTAACTTTAGGAGGCCGGTAGGCCTAGGTCTTGGGTACCAGTCCAAGTAGTCTGAATCTAGGGCCTGTAGCGGATTATATCAGACCTGAAATGATGTTTCCCTCCGAAAGGAGGATGGTACCGGTTGCTTAGGAGGCCACGCGGCCTGGAAGTCACCGCCCAAGAGGCAACTTGGCCGGTATATCTCCA